AAATAAATAAAATGGTTGAGGATTTTGCTGAAGATATTTAGCATTAGAAAAATGCTTATGTTTTCATGGAAGAGAAACAGTAGACAAAAGATGCTGCACTTTTCAGATTTTAAATATTTTGATACAGTATGCCAGACCAATGATAAAATATATTTTCTCAGTTTCATCTATAGACACTGACAAAGGACGGAAGCCGTGTACAGACCATAATTGTGAAACTTCCAAAAGATTATCTAAGGTATGTTATATGCTGGTGGAGAAAGAAGTAAAAAGTTGATGAAAATGCCCAGTGTTTATGCATCTTAGCTCTTTGTAAAGTACTGAGGGCCCCACAGTGAAGATGTCAACAGTAAAAGTAAAGCTTCACCTCAGCAAAATAAGAAATCAATATATTGACATTTGAGAAATGCTTTGAAATTTGCTGTTGTATAATTGGTTATATAAAGAATGATTTTTCATTTATATAGCCTTCTTTTGTATGGCTAATTTATAATTATTATTTAAGAGAAATCGTAGCTGGAGTTTTTCTAGTTATTTCAGTTTTCATAGACATCGGTATACTAGCCTTATACCATCTTTGCTAAATTCAATTTTTATAATAGTTATTTCATAAATACTTTTATGTAATCATCACAGCCTTATGAGTACATATAGGGTTACATCTTTCATGTTTTTATTTGTTATCTGATTTCATTTGAATGACTATAATCAGTGCAAATTTGAATATATGCGATGAGAGTGGAGACTATTTTGTCTCTAGACTGAAAGCATTTAGTCTTTCACAATCAAGTCTGATGGTAGCTGTACTTTTTCATAGATGTCTTTTATCAGAGTGAAGAAGTTATCGCCTATTCTTTATTTATTTGATCATATTATTAATGTGGATTAAATTTTGTCTAATAATGTTTTATGATTTTTTATGAAAACATATCTGCCTTATATTTTTTAGAGTCCTATTTTTTTTCTGTTTCATATACTCCCTGTTTATGCAATGTGTGTTACAGAGTTTGTAGTCACGTTTTAAAACTGCCACAACAGCAATTCATGTACCAATTATTTCAACATTTTAGTGGAAAATTATAGAAGTAATTTTAGATTAAAGTCTATTATAATATACAAACATACAGCACAGTATCACTGGTAGGGATGTTGACACTGATATAATCTAGTGCTTTTGTTTAGATTTACCTAGTTTACTTGTGTCCACTCCTGTTTTAGGTTCTATACAACTTCCTCACTTAGCTAGTATGACATATTCACTCCTGTAGTAATAATGTAGCACAGTTCTATACTTTCTGGGTCTTTGTGGTGCCTTTTATAATCACAATTCTATGTCTTCTGTCTCTCCCAGTTTCTTCCCTAACATCAGACATTTTAAAGTTACATTATTTTAAAAGCTTTTCTAGAAGTTCATTCAAGATGATACATAAATCAGTAATTACCACCTTATATTAATATGCCATGGTGTATGTATATATGTATATGTATATATTTATGTGTGTGTTTAAAATTATGTTCCGTATATGAGAGAGGCCATGTGGTACTTATTTTTCTCCTTATTATCCTTTCCTTTATCTTTCATGTTCCCCTCTGTCCCCTCTCTTTATATCCCATCTTCACCAATAGTTCCAGGTTGATTTTAAAAAAAAAATATATAGATAGATATGTACATACACACACGCACACCATATGAGAGAGAAAACATTTGTCTTTCTCAGCCTGGTTTATCTCAACTAATCTGATGATCTCCATTTCTGTCCTTTTTCCTGAAAATGGCATAATTTCATTCTTACTTATAGGTGAACAGTGCCATTATTTATATATACCACATTCTTTATCCACTCTTCTATAGATGGGCACAGTCATGTTCCACATCTCAGTTATCTTGAGTAGTGCTGCACTAAATGTGTATGTGTAGTTTCTTTTTGTAATTCTGACTTAGATTTATTTGGAGGTACATCTCTAGGAGCGATGTAGATGGATCATGAGTAGTTCTATTTTTAGTTTATTGAGGAACTGTCATACTGGTTTCTGTAGTGGCTGTACTAGTTACTTTCCACCAGCAGTGTAAAAGACTTCATTTTACCCTTATCCTCACCAGTATTTGTGTCGTTTGTTTTCTTGATTGTAACCATTCTGACTTGAGTGAAATGGAATGAAATCCTAGTTTAATTTTTTTGTTATTTGTTTGTTGGTTGTTTGAAATAACACACTGTGGTCAAAAGCTGGCCTTGAGTTTATGGCAGTCTTCCTGTCCCCTCCTCCTGAGTTCTGAGATTCCTGATATGTGCCACCACGTACCTTTTTATGTAGATTTTTCAATGTAAAAATTTTTATTCTCTGAGAATTTCATACATGTATACAATGTATTTTGATTATATCACCCTATACTCACTGCCAACGCTTTACAGACCCCCTCATGTACCCCTCCCAACTTCATGTCCTTTTTCTTTTTTGTTAAATCCATGGAGTCTAATTAGTGCTGCTCATATGCACATTGGTGTAGTGCCTCCCACTGGAGCATTGTCATCAGGGGTCACACCCCTAAAGAAAACTGACTTCCCCTCCCCAGAAGCAATCAACTCTAAATAGATCCTCAGCTCATGGTGGGGGCTCATGTGCTTTCCTCCACCCATGCTGGAATGTTGACTGCCTTGATCTTATGCAGGTGTTGTGCAGGCAACCACAGCTGCTGTTTAGTTCATGAGTGCAGTGGTCTTGTTGTGTCCAGAAGTCACTGTTTAGTCCCTGTCCTCTTGGCTCTTACAGTCTCTCCACCACCTCCTACCTGATGTTCCCTGAGCCTTGGAGAGATAATTTTGTGTTATATAGTTTCCCATTTATGGCTGAACATGCCATATACACTTATTTTTTGTACTTTAAGCAGTTGTGAGGCTGTATTAACTGTAATCTACTGCACGAAAAGACTTCTCTGAGGAGGACTGAGAGTTGGACTAATCTATGGGCATGAGAAAATTTTATAAAGTTTGATACCATGCCCATTTAGCAAAATAATGATAGTAGATTCTCCCCCTTAGGCCTATGAGCTCTCCAGTCACGGGCTCTTGCCCAGATTTACAATACCAGGCAAGAATTTCCTCCTAATGAATGGATCTTAAATCCAGTCTGAAAGAAGATAACAAAGAGCAGGGATTGGTATGATTAATATTATATAAATTTTCATCCTACCAAAAGCAGTGTATAGATTTGATGCAATCCCCATCAAAATTCCAATGAGATTCTTTACAGAAATTGAAAAAATATCTTAAAATTCATATAGAAGTTTAAAAGACCCTGAATAACCAAATAACCCTGAACATAAGAACACTGCAGGAGATATCACCATTCCTAATTTCAATTTATAACAGAAATGGTACTGGAACAAAACAGGCACACTGATCAATGGAATGGAATTGAGGACCCCAGATACAAGTTGTGTACCTATACCCTTTTGATTGTTGACAAAGATGCTGAAAATATACATTGGAGGAAAGACGGCATCTTTAACAAATGATGCTGGGAAAACTGGTTATCTACATGTAGAAGAATGAAACTAGATCCCTATTTCTCATCCTGACAAAAAAAAAAAAAAAAAAAAAAAAAAAAGAATTCCAAATGGGATCAAAGACCTTAGTGTTAGACTCTGAAACTTCTAGATGAAAGGGTAGGAGTACACTGGAGGATATAGGCTCAGTTAAGGACCTTTTGCACAGGATCCTGGTCACACAGAAAAGAAGACCAACAGTTGACAAGTGGGACCTCATGAAATTTAAAAGCTTTTATACTGCAAAGGAACTCAAGAGTCAGCCTACAGAATGAGAAATCTTTATCAGCTATATATTTGACTGAGGATCAGTGACTATAATATACAGTGAACTCAGAAAACTAAATGAGAAAACGAACAACACAATTAAGAATTGAGAATGGATCTAAACAGAGGATTCTCAAAAGAAGAAACACAAATGGCTTAGAATATTTTTTAAGATATCGAACATCTTTAGCCATCAAGGAAATGCAAGTTAAATCTGCTTTGGAATTTCATCTTACCCCAGTCAGACTAGCTAAGATTAAGTAAGCAAATAAATACTAGTGAAGATGTGGGGGGACCCCCCATTCACTGTTGGTTGGTGGGAATGCAAACCGATGGAGTCACTAAGGAATCTACATGATGGTCTTCAAAAAGATAGAAATAGATCTACCATTTGACCCAGCTCTAACACTCCTGGGCATATTCCCAAAAGATTCTGTATCTTCCTTCAGAGATACCTGCTCATCCATGTTTATTGTTGCTCTGTTCACAATAGCAGGAAATGGAAACAACCTAGATGTCCATCAACTGATGAATGGATAAAGAAAATGTAAATATATACAGTGGAATTTTATTCATTTGTAAGAAAAATGAAATCATGAACTGTACGGGTAAATGAATGGAACTGGAAAAGATACTGAATGAGGTAACCTAGACCCAGAAAGTCAAATGCCACATGTGTGCTCATGTGGATCCTAGTATAAAATCTTTAGATTTGTGTGTTTAACTTGTAGAATCTATAGACACCAGGGAACTAAAACTAGAAAGGGACCTTGGGGATTATTTTAATGGGAGGGTAGTCTTTATACACTTTCAGCTTGTATTTACTTGCTGGCTAAGGATGTTGAAACATATTTTTCATATATTTATTAGCCATTTGTTTTTCATCTTTTGAGAATTGTCTGTTCCTTTGCCCAATTATTGATTGGATGATTTGTCATTTGAGTATTGTTGTGTTTGGAATATGAAACCTCCCTCATTGACTCACATGTTTGAACACTTGTTCCCCACTTGATAATGCTGTTTGGCCTGGTTGTGGAACCTTTAGGAGGTGGAGTCTCACTGGAGGAAATGGGTTGCTGGGAGTGGACCTTGAGATTTTATAGCCTGGTCCCCCTTCCTGTTCACATTCTCCTTTTTAAGTACAGATGTAGTATGACCAGGCAGCCCCGTGCCCCTGCCATCATGTGTTTTTTACCATGATGATCTGTATCCCACTGGTACTGTGAGACAAAATAAACTCTTTCTCTTTTAAGCTGCTTTTGTCAGGGCATTTTATCACAGCAATAGAAAAGTGACCAAAACAAGTATTTAAAATTTTTTAGATATCTGGACTGGAGAGATGGCTCAGCAGTTAAGAACATTGGCTGTTCTTGCAGAAAGCTCGGGTTTGAATCCCAACACTCCCACCCACATGGCAGCTAACAACT